GTGCTGCCCAGGGCTTGGTGACGCCCAGGACTTGGTGCTGCCCAGGACTTAGTGCTGGCCAGGACTTGGTGCTGCCCAGGATTGGTGCCAGCCAGGACTTGGTGACGCCCAGGGCTTGGTGCCAGCCAGGACTTGGTGCTGCCCAGGGCTTGGTGCTGCCCAGGACTTGGTGACGCCCAGGACTTGGTGCTGCCCAGGGCTTGGTGACGCCCAGGACTTGGTGATGCCCAGGACTTGGTGCTGCCCAGGACTTGGTGCTGCCCAGGGCTTGCTGTCGCCCAGGACTTGGTGCTGCCCAGGGATTGATGCCGCCCAGGACTTGGTGCTGCCCAGGACTTGGTGCCGCCCAGGGCTTGGTGCCGGCCAGGACTTGGTGCTGCCCAGGGCTTGGTGACGCCCAGGACTTGGTGATGCCCAGGACTTGGTGCTGCCCAGGACTTGGTGCTGCCCAGGGCTTGCTGTCGCCCAGGACTTGGTGCTGCCCAGGGATTGGTGCCGCCCAGGACTTGGTGCTGCCCAGGACTTGGTGACGCCCAGGGCTTGGTGCCGGCCAGGACTTGGTGCTGCCCAGGGCTTGGTGCTGCCCAGGACTTGGTGCTGTCCAGGGCTTGGTGCCAGCCAGGACTTGGTGCTGCCCAGGGCTTGGTGACGCCCAGGACTTGGTGCCGTCCAGGGCGGGTGATGCCCAGGACTTGGTGCTGCCCAGGACTCGGTGCTGCCCAGGACTCGGTGCTGCCCAGGGCTTGGTGTCACCCAGGACTTGGTGCCAGCCAGGACTTGGTGCTGCCCAGGGCTTGGTGCCGCCCAGGGCTTGGTTCTGCCCAGGACTTGGTGCTGCCCAGGGCTTGGTGCTGCCCAGGACTTGGTGCTGCCCAGGGCTTGGTGCTGCCCAGGACTTGGTGCTGCCCAGGGCTTGGTGCTGCCCAGGGCTTGGTGCCGGCTGCTGTCCTGAGGGTCCACCTTCTCCCCTGCTCACCCGTGCTGACCTGGGTGCTCACGCTGCTGCATCCTAATGGTCACAGTGAGGTCGGCAGCTGCTTCGCTGCTGGCTGAGACCCCAGCTCCCACCGCCAGCTCCTGGGTTGGGCTCCAGGCTCCAAGTCCTGACTCCAGCTCCCTGCCAGCGCCGCCTCTGCTGTGACACCAGCATGCTGTCCCCAGAAAACAGCCCTGCAGTGTCGCTTCTGTTCCCGTTATGGGTCTGTCCAGGCTTGCCTTCTCCTTTTTTCTTTTAAGATTTACTTTTACTCTTATTTGAAAGGCAGAGTTGCAAAGAGAGGAGGGAGAGGAAAGAGAGAGGGAGAGATAGAGAGAGGGAGAGACTCTTCGATCCACTGGTTCACTCCCCAAATGGTTGCAACAGCTGGGGCTGGGCCAGGCCAAAGCTAGGAGTCAAGAGCTTCATCTGGGTCTCCCACGTGGGTGCAGGGGCCCAAGGACTTGAGCCACCTCCCACTGCTTTCCCAGGTGCATAAGCAGGGAGCTGGATTGGAAGTGGAGCAGCCAGGACTCAAACCCTCTGCTGGCCTCCAGGTGGAGGATTAACCTACTGCACTGCAGCGCTGGCCCCATACATGATTCTAAAGCATTGATTCCAGAGTTATTACAAACAATAGAATTATTAAGATCCCTTTGTGTATATACCTCTGCTTGGCCCAGAACAACAAGGTAATAAAAGTACCTCCATTAGGCCGGCGCCGCGGCTCACTAGGCTAATCCTCCGCCTTGCGGCGCCGGCACACCGGGTTCTAGTCCCAGTCGGGGCGCCGGATTCTGTCCCGGTTGCCCCTCTTCCAGGCCAGCTCTCTGCTGTGGCCCGGGAGTGCAGTGGAGGATGGCCCAAGTGCTTGGGCCCTGCACCCCATGGGAGACCAGGAGAAGCACCTGGCTCCTGCCATCGGATCAGCGCGGTGCGCCGGACGCAGCGTGCCGGCCGCGGTGGCCATTGGAGGGTGAACCAACAGCAAAGGAAGACCTTTCTCTCTGTCTCTCTCTCTCTCACTATCCACTCTGCTTGTAAAAAAAAAAAAAAAAAAAAAAAAAAAAAAAGTGCCTGCATTAAAACCCATGAAATGAGTGTTTGTTCCAGGGGCTCGTGCCACCAATGGCTGCACAGTTGGGCTCTCTGCTAGTTTCCCATCCTGGAGCTGGCTCCTGCCTGTCTGATTTCATCAGATGCATTTACAAGGCTGGAATCCCGCACAGGAGTGTGGGCTGTGGGCTGTGGGCTGTCGCTGTCACTCATCCTGGGTTCATCTCACTTCCCCACCTGTTCTCCACGAGGCACAGCATGTCCTCGCCCTGTTCAGCCCCCGCCTCTCCTGAGAGCCTGGGGCTCATGCCTCCGTGCACGGGGACCTTCCTGCTGCTTCTCTGGGCTTCACCCCAACCCAGGACACAGCGGGGGCCCCCAGTCTCACAGCGCCGCAGTAGCCACACGGTGCCAGGTCAGCCCGACCCCGGGCAGGTGCGCCTTCCACAGAGACCACCGGGACACCGCAGCTGTGGTTTCCTCTCCTGGCTTCCTCGGGTAAATGGTGTCCTTGGGCTCAAGGCGGCTTCTTCCCACCTCACAGCTCGCTGCTGCGGGCGTCTGTGGTCATCCTGGGCCAAACAGACTTGCAGCTGAAACGCTGGCCTGCTGCACCTGGCCGCCTTGGCGGGCCAGATCCTGATTTGAGGGTGCAGACAGCCCGGGGCGGGGCCGACATCCCCCGCCCTGGTTAGATGGAAGCCACAGCTGCAGGCCCCTCAGGCCAGGCCCTCCTCGGCTCCTGTGCTCTGCAGAGGCCCCTGGTGTGGCCCCGTTTCACCCCAGCCTCCATGGAGTCCCTGTGCACAGCGAGTCCTGGCTCCTGTCTGAGCGTGTGTGTGCGTGTGTCCCTGTGTGTGCCCATGTGTGTCTGCGTGTTTGTGTATCTGTGTGTGTCCATGTGCCCACATGTACCTGTGTATCTGCATGCCTGTGTGTCTGTTCATGTGTCTATGTGTGTCCATGTGTATGGTTGTGTGCGATTGGGTCTGTGGGTATCGTGTGTCCCTGTGTGTGCCCATGTGACTCTGCGTCGTGGGTGTTGGTCGTGTGTCCATGTGTGTGACTGTGTGTTCATGGGTGTCATGTGTGTCCATGTGTGTGATCATGTGTATCCATGTGCGTGACTGTGTGTCCACGGGTGTCGTCATGTGTGTCCATGTGTATGATTGTGTGTATTGTGTCTGTGTTATGTGATTGTGTCTGTGCGTGATCATATGTGTCTTGCATGTGTCCATGTGTCCCCGCCCACATCCCTGTTTCACCCCAGGTTTTCACCCGGGGAGGGGTCTGCAGCTTCCCCAGCCGGAGCTGTGGGGTTTGAGCTCTGTGTCCTTTACTCCAGGACAGAGGTGAGGGGGCGGGGTCTTCACTTCCGCTCAGCCCCGCCCACCGCTGCGCTGGGGAATTCGGGTGAGCGGGTGCACCTGGACCCCTCCACACAGGGATCCTCTGAACACGCGCGTCTCTGCACGCGGGGACCCCAAACTCCAGGGCGGCTCTGCACGCGGGGACCCTGAACCCCAGGGCAGCTCTGCACGCGGGGACCCCGAACCCCAGGGCGGCTCTGCACGCGGGGACCCCGAGCCCCAGGGCGGCTCTGCACGCGGGGACCCCGAGCCCCAGGGCAGCTCTGCACGCGGGGACCCCGAACCCCGGGGTGGCTCTGCACGCGGGGACCCCTGAACCCCGGGGCGGCTCTGCACGTAGGGACCCCTGAACCCCGGGGCGGCTCTGCACGTAGGGACCCCTGAACCCCAGGGCGGCTCTGCACGTGGGGACCCCGAGCCCCAGGGCGGCTCTGCACGTGGGGACCCATGAACCCCAGAGCCGCTCTGCACGCGGGGACCCCTGAACCCCGGGGCAGCTCTGCACGCGGGGACCCCTGAACCCCGGGGCGGCTCTGCACACGGGAACCCCTGAACCCCAGGGCGGCTCTGCACACGGGTACCCCGCATCCCGCGGCGGCTCTGCACGCGGGGACTTCTCCCTAGGGCCTCATGAGCTCTAAGCTGCTCCGCCTGGGGGCCGCTGGCCGGGGGCCGTGGGTGGCGTCGCGGGGAGCGCGGCGTCTCCCCGGGCCCGCGAGGTCACACACAGCCTCTGTCCACACCTCGGACTTCTCGACTTAAACCCACGGGGGCGGCAGGAACCCCAGTGTCCCGAGGCTGCGCGGAGTCGGATCCGGGCCTCGGCTCTGTGAGCCGCGCCTCTTCCCCGCTGCTCCGCCAGAGGGCGCCGCGGAGCCGGAGTCGGCGAGCGCGAGCCCGCGGCCGTGACGTCATAGCGGGGGTCGGTCATCGCGGGCTTTGTGACGTCGGGCGGCGACCGCGGCTGCGGGGAGCTTTCCACATGCGTTCACTTACGTGAAATAAAGCTGACTTTAAAAGCATCTGCGACATTGTGCTCCGAGAAACGGTTAGCTCTGCCGGAATTAGACATTGACACAGCTGACCACTCCTGCCACTGGCCACGGCCCTGCGGTGCGACGACTCCGCCCACTGTGACGTCAGCTCCTTCACGGAACCCGGCAGTCACTCCCAGCTCCCGCAAGTGACCCCTGCCCACAGTCACCCCATCCCCACATCACCCCACCCCACATCACCCCGTCCCACAGTCACCCCACCCCACAGTCACACCGTCCCACAGTCACCCCTGCCCACAGTCACCCCGTCCCACAGTCACCCCTGCCCACAGTCACACCGTCCCACAGTCACCCCTGTCCACAGTCACCCCTGCCCACAGTCACCCCATCCCCACATCACCCCACCCCACATCACCCCGTCCCACAGTCACCCCACCCCACAGTCACACCGTCCCACAGTCACCCCTGCCCACAGTCACACCGTCCCACAGTCACCCCTGCCCACGGTCACCCCGTCCCCACATCACCCCACCCCACAGTCCCCCCACCCCACAGTCACCCCTGTCCACAGTCACCCCACCCCACAGTCACCCCTGCCCACAGTCACACCGTCCCACAGACACCCCTGTCCACAGTCACCCCATCCCACAGTCCCCCCATCCCACAGTCCCCCCATCCCCACAGTCCCCCCATCCCACAGTCACCCCATCCCACAGTCCCCCCATCCCCACAGTCCCCCCATCCCACAGTCACCCCATCCCACAGTCCCCCCATCCCACAGTCATCCCATCCCACAGTCCCCCCATCCCACAGTCACCCCATCCCACAGTCACCCCATCCCACAGTCCCCCCATCCCACAGTCATCCCATCCCACAGTCACCCCATCCCACAGTCACCCCGTCCCACAGTCACCCCATCCCACAGTCACCCCACCCCACAGTCACCCCGTCCCACAGTCACCCCATCCCACAGTCCCCCCATCCCACAGTCATCCCATCCCACAGTCACCCCATCCCCACAGTCACCCCGTCCCCACAGTCACCCCGTCCCACAGTCACCCCATCCCCACAGTCACCCCGTCCCACAGTCACCCCATCCCACAGTCACCCCATCCCCACAGTCACCCCGTCCCCACAGTCACCCCGTCCCACAGTCACCCCATCCCACAGTCACCCCGTCCCACAGTCACCCCATCCCCACAGTCACCCCGTCCCCACAGTCACCCCGTCCCACAGTCACCCCATCCCACAGTCACCCCATCCCACAGTCACCCCATCCCCACAGTCACCCCGTCCCCACAGTCACCCCGTCCCACAGTCACCCCATCCCACAGTCACCCCATCCCCACAGTCACCCCGTCCCCACAGTCACCCCGTCCCACAGTCACCCCATCCCCACAGTCACCCCGTCCCCACAGTCACCCCGTCCCACAGTCACCCCATCCCCACAGTCACCCCGTCCCCACAGTCACCCCGTCCCACAGTCACCCCTGCCCACAGTCACCCCGTCCCACAGTCACCCCGTCCCACAGTCAGCCCTGGGCTGGGCTTCACTGTCCAGGGCAGGGCCTGGTGTTGCATTCTGAGGCTGGGGCTGGGCAGGGTGAGCCCTGAGCAGGCGGCTTGTGCAAGGTTGGGGACAGGAGGACAGCAGCCTCCTCTCTGCCAGTGCAGTGTGTCCTTGTCTGTCCTGGCGCTGGCCCAGTCCCTACTGAAATCCAGAGCCTTAACTCACGAGCCGAGGACTCCCCAAACCCCCATTTACAGCCGGTGGTTCAGCGGTTCCTGTGCCTGGGAAGCTGATGTGACCGACGCCCTAGCCAGTCCTACGGTGCACTCCGCAGCGCGAGGAGCCCAGAGCCCATGGCAGTCACTGCCTGCGCCCCGCCCCTGCCCTCGGTGACCACGAGCTGCTCTGTGGCTCGGTGGGTGTCACGGCTACACCGCGTAACCCCAAATCCACATATCAAGGTCTCTAGCCCATGCCTCCTGCACACTGTTTCGCTGTGACACCTGCTTCTTCCGCACACCTGTCCCTCCTTCCTCCTGCGCACCTGTCTCTGTTGTGACACCTTTTCCTCCCACAACCTGCTCCTGCTAGGACTCCTCCTCCTGCGCACCTGTTCCTGCTGTCCCTCCCTCCTCCCGTGAGTCTCCCCTTTTCTGCTGTGGGCTCTGCCTGCCTCCCACCCCCAGGGACCTGTCTTGCCTTCCCTTTTGATCTTGCACCTGAGACTTCTATCTATTCCTTGCCATCATTTAAACATACTCAAATCTCTTCCACTTTCTAAGTAAATCCGTCTCCACGACTCTCCCTTCGGCTGTCGCCAGGCCCTCTCGTCCCCAGCGCTGACCCCCAGGAGGGACTGCCCACACTTGGGTTGGTTCTCCAGCTCTGGAGTCTAGCGCTCCCTCCCCCGCTGCTGGGGACACTGGCGCTGCCACACTCTAACGCACCGGGCTTCTGTCTGCACGCCATGTTTGCATCCAGCTCTGCTGTCCTCTGCCCAGACGCCCCCATGGGCTTCAGCTGCGCTTCAAGTCCTTCTCACCCTTCCTCTGGCCACCCCCAGGGCCCTCAGCTTCCCTGTCCCGCTCCCGAGCAGCCCTGCCCGCCCATGCCGTAGCTCCCCCCACGACGTGCGGCCGTCCCTAGACTGCTCCTCGGACCCCGACAGCCCCCATGCCAGGGCTCCAGCTCCCTCTCCCTCCCGACTGGCAGAAACCTGGGATGTCACACAGGTATCCCAAGAGTGACACGGCCAGAATGGGCCTCCACACACCCAGGTGCAGGGTCAGCGGCCCTGCGATGGCCTCTCTGGCTGCTCAGACGCTTAGACCCAGCACTGGGCACCCAGACCTGACACCCCTGCCCCAACTGCTCTCCTACTGCTCTCACCTCTGCAGCTGTGGCAATGTCAGGTCCTCCTCACCCCGTCCCTCGTCCAGATGCCCGTGGCATGGCACAGCCCTGGGGAAATCACCCCATGGACCCAGCTCCCCTGAGGACAGAGCCCACACACTCTAGTGAGAATTCCAAGACCCATTTTGACCTGGCCCATGGTGAATTCTCCCCCATGTTTCTCATCTCTCTCCGCAGTACACTCTACAAATATGCCATGACCTCACCCAGGACCCCAGATGCGCCGGGACCTCACCCAGGGTCTAGATGTGCCGAGACCTCACCCAGGACCCCAGATGCGCCGGGACCTCGCCCAGGACCCCAGATGTGCCGGGACCTCGCCCAGGACCCCAGATGCGCCGGGACCTCACCCAGGGTCTCAGATGCACTGGGATCTCACCCAGGACCCACCCCGTCCCTCCTTGCTCCCCCTGGCCTGTTACCCCCACTGGTCCTTGGCTCCCCCAGGAAGCCTTGAGGGGCCTCTGGGGAGTGGTGACCCGACCCCCAGGTGAGCAGTGGCGCGTTGGCCCCTCCTGCTGTGCCCCACCCGCTGGGCACTGATGCCCTCATCCGCATGTGCAGGGACTGTGACGGCTCCGTTCCCCCGTCCCCACACTGAGTGTTTCCTGCATATCTCGCCCACAGTCACACCACCCCACAGTCACCCCACCCCACAGATATGACTGCATATCTCGCCTGGAGTGAACTCCAGAAAACAGAATCCTGGGACTGCAGGCCTCTGCACCGTCGGGACCCCTGCCACACCCGTGCCGTGCACAGCGGACAGAGCTGGGCGAACCAGCAAGGACTGGGCACAGGGGCACACAGCCCTGGCGGAGCCTCCATTTCCTCCGGGCACGTGGGGAGACTTCTATCCTCCTCCTCCTCCCCCCCGAGGAGCTGCACAAACCCTGCTGCTCCCACACAAGCACTCTGCCCTCTGTGCCACACCACCAGGAGCCAGGAGCGTCTTCCAGGCCCCCCCCGAAGGTGCAGGGGCCCAAGCGCTTAGCCATCCTCCACTGCTTTCCCAGACACATTAGCAGCGAGCTGGATCAGAAGTGGAGCAGCCGGGATACAAGCCGGTGTCCATATGGGATGCCAGCATCGCAGATGGTGGCTTCACCCGCTACGCCACAGCGCCAGCCACGGGGCCACTTTAACAAAGTGGCTGAAAAATCTCTCCAGGCCCCTGCCTCCCCCGCAAAAGGAAGCTGGGGCTATAGGGGCTGGCACCTGCTCTATCTCACACTTTGTGGAATGTTATTTTCTCTTCTGCTGCATTAAAAAACTGATATTATGCTTGGGCCCCTGCACCCATGCGGGAGAACTGGAAGAAGCTCCTGGCTGCTGGTCATTACGGCCATTTGGGGAATGAATCAGTGGATGGGAGATTCTCTCTCTGTGTCTCTCCCTTTCTCTGTGTAACTCTTTTAAATAAAAATAAATAAAACTTAAACAACAACAACAACAAAAATCGTATCTCCTATTAATGCAGAAGGGCTGTGTCCACATGGGGCTGATGTGTGTGCACTCAGCATCTCAGAGTAGGCCTCCACGCTGTGTTGCCGTGGCAACGCTATCAGCACCATTACCACCATCACCTTGTCTTCTCCCTCCCTCTGCCTGTGACAACCACCTGCTGTGCGGGTGCCTGTGCAAAGCTCCAGACCTGTGACCCCCACACACCTCAGGGAGAAGAGGCTGGAAGAAGCCCCAGGCCCATCTGATGGCCGATTCTAGAAACTGGGCATAGAGGAGGTGTACAGAGGCCTGGGAGACTGGTGAAGACCAAATCCGAAGCGTCCAGCCAGGACCGGGGCGTCAGCGTCTCTGAGCAGGGTGCTGACATCCACGGCACCCATGCTTCGGCGTGCACCGCATGGCCACAAGAGTGCTCCCCGGCCAGGAACACCCTGTGTGGAGAGCAGGGTGGCAGCCCAGGCGGCCGTGGCTGTGGGTGGTGTCTGAGGGCTCAGAGGCTCTGAAAGGACTCACCGTGCTCACACCCGGCACGGGCACCTTGGCTCCACGCAGTTACTCCTGGGGGGGGGGGTCATGACATCACTGTGGGTCCACGAGCCAGGCGGCTCAGCCACGCAGACCTAGAGGCCAGACGCTTGGGGGATCGGACTGCAGCTCAGTATTCATTTAAACCGAGAGCAGCACGTGGTGCAGCAGGTGAAGCTGTCGCCTGCAACACCAGCATCCCACATGGGCGCCGGTTCAAGTCCCGGCTGCTCCACTTCTGACCCAGCTCCCTGCTAATGCACCTGGGAAAGCAGTGGGAGATGCCCCAAGTGCTTGGGCCCCTGCACCTGCGTGGGAGACCCAGCTGTTGCAGCCACTGGGGAGTGAACCAGCAGGTAGAAGATCTCTCTGTGTGTCTCTCCCTTTCTTTGTGTAACTCTGCCTTTCAAATAAAAATAAGTACTAAAAAAATAAAAATAATAACAAAAATCTTATCTCCTACTAGTGCTTGAGTACCAGCTCCTCTTTGGAACAGCTGAAAAATATTTGCAATCATGTTTTATGTTGGGTATTCCAGGGCAAGAGAGTAACACAGGACACGGAGAGCCTCAAAGATAGTAGATGATAGATACAGAGGTGGGTCATCGAAGGGTAGATGATAGATACAGAGATAGCCAGCCAGCCAGCCAGACATCCAGAACCTCCGCCCTGCAGTCCTGAGGTTGGCTCAGGGACCCACTGAGCCGCCCCTCGGTATCCACGGGAGTTTGTGCCAGGACCCGGCAGACAGCAAATCCACGGCTGCTGCTGTGCCCGTGTGAACGGCATCACGTTGACACAGCGCCTGCGACATCGCCCTGTTCCTGCAGTCACCCCCGGGTCACTCCCACCCGAAACAAGGGAAGCGCTGTGTGGACGGCTCCCACCCTCTGCTCCCGAAACACTGTGTAGACGGCTCCCACCCTCTGCTCCCGAAGCACTGTGTAGACGGCTCCCACCCTCTGCTCCCGAAGCACTGTGTAGACGGCTCCCGCCCTCTGCTCCTGAAGCACTGTGTAGACGGCTCCCACCCTCTGCTCCCGAAGCACTGTGTAGACGGCTCCCACCCTCTGCTCCCAAAAGCACTGTGTAGACGGCTCTCACCCTCTGCTCCCGAAAGCACTGTGTAGACGGCTCCCGCCCTCTGCTCCCGAAGCGCTGTGTAGACGGCTCCCGCCCTCTGCTCCCGAAGCGCTGTGTAGACGGCTCCCGCCCTCTGCTCCCGAAGCGCTGTGTAGATGGCTCCCGCCCTCTGCTCCCGAAACAAGGGAAGCGCTGTGTAGATGGCTCCCACCCTCTGCTCCCGAAAGCATAACAGCAAGAAGAGTGTCAGTTCTCGGAACAGATGCAACTGCTTAAGAAAAGATATTCTTGATGCAAGGCGGGTTGAATCCAAGGATGCAGAACTCACAGATCCAGAACCATGGACACAAGCGCTGCCTGTACCGGACGCAGCCCGCAGCGCTCTGACCACAGCTGGGCAGGGAGATGCACCTGGCCAAGCCTGCAGCTCTGTTCTAGTTGGGGTGGGGGAGGAGGACACTTGGCATGCAGTAGGCAGAGGCCAGGGATGCTGAGAAACTTCCCATCCTCCCACGGGACCCGCCCCCCGCCAGCGCCAGCTGTGTGAGGGTCCCAGCTGTGTGAGGGGCCCGGCTGTGCGAGGGGCCCGGCTGTGTGAGGGGCCCAGCTGTGTGAGGGGCCCGGCTGTGTGAGGGGCCCGGCTGTGTGAGGGGCCCGGCTGTGTGAGGGGCCCGGCTGTGTGAGGGGCCTGGCAGCCCGGCCCGAGGATTCCGGAGCTCCCGTGGCTCCCTGGCGGTCTCAGCCACCCCTGGCTTCTCTGCCCGATGCCCCAGCTCTGTGCCCTGCACACTCAGCACGCTTCCCGCCTCCCCAGCCCCTGCAGCGGTGCTGTTCCTGAGCCGCCCAGGCCTAACCCCAACCTACCTACGTGTGCTCGAGCCCCCGGGGAGCCTGCTGGGATGCACGCCTGCACCCGGCAGGTTTGGGTGGCCCGTGGCTAACCAGCTCCCGGGGGTGTGGCACGCGCTCTGAGTGGCCCAGGCTGCACCAGGGCGTCACCCGTCACCTCTCAGTCGGAGGCGGCATCCCCTGATGTCGCCCTCAACCTGACACTGGCATTCCCGGAAGTCTCCCAGTGACCGGTGCCGAGGGAGCCCCATGGGGCACGTTGGGATGGGAGGGGTTAGCCGAGTGGGTACCTGCAACGGGAGGGACACTGCACAGCCTGGCGCCACCGTGCTGGGGTACGCAGTCCAGGTGGGGGAGGTGAGAATGAGGGGTGACTTTCACACCTCTGGGGACTTGGCCTTTGTCACCCTTTCTCCTCCATAACCATCTCTCCAAAGCTCAGCCTTGCCAAGAGCTCAGAACACGTCCCTCTGGGCCCCTGCAGCTCACGGGCCAGCTCTCTGCTCGGCCTTGGCCTTGCCCTCCCAGTGTCTTTGTCCCCTCCTCCAAGTGTGGCTTGCAAGAGGGTGAGCTTGGGGCCTGGTGTGGACAGGGGCCTCCATCCCTGTCTGTTCGGCCTCCTGCCACAGCGGATACAACAAGAGAGGGCCCTGGCGCTAGTTCCTGCCACTGGGTCCTTCGTGGGCAGGCCGGGGCTGCTGCAGCCTCACCTGCCAGCAGATTCAACCTGTCTGTTCTTTACAAACCCCAAGGGGCTTACGGTCCAGCACTTCTCTGGGTCCGCTTTGTCACCATGTCCTTCCTGGAGGAATCTCAGCAGCCTCAAAGCCAGGAAGCTGCCCCCCAAGGTGTGCAGACCCCAAACGGGTTTGCCTGGGACTCCCTCTGCCCCCTCGTGCCTTGGTCTAAACTTTCCCACCGGCACGGGCACAGCTGCGTCCCCTCGCCTGCACAGATAGTGGTGAGAACAGCCAGCGCACAGGAGTGTAAGGGGCTGGTGTGGACCGCATTTTTCAGCGAGTGCTCGTGAAGCTCCGTGGGGGTCAGGAGGGGGAATGCCGGCCGCGGCCTTCCTGACCACCCCCAGAGACCGGGCGCCCTGGCTTTCGCTGGCCCAGTGCCCCAGGGATGAGAACAAGCGGTTCATTCACGGGGCGGGGGGACCGCTGAGCTGATGGCGGAAGGAGACGACGCAGCAGGGTACCGCCCCCTCAGCCAGCCTGGCCACTCCGAAATCCACGCGCACGGGGTAAGGCCGTGCAGTGCATCGGGGCGCTCACGCCCCGCTCTGCCTGCTGGAGTGACTCTGGCAGAAGGAAAGCCAAACACCCCAACCTGGGAAACAGTGCAACGTGAGCTTTGCCAGGGCTCCTCTAAGTAAGCAGGCCTGGCGGGGCCGGCCCGCGCCTCTCCCCAGCTGTCCAGAGACCTCCGCGCTTCCTGGAGACACCGCCGCGCCCCGCAGGCTGCCGGCGGGCCGAGGTTCCCTGAACGGGCTTGCCACATTCCGCCCTCGCCCCGGCTCAGGGTGTCCAGCCGGTTGTCACAACAGAGCAGCGCCTGGGCGACCAACGCGCGTGCCCTCAGCCCGGGCTCGGCAGGCCCTGCCTGCGTTCAGCCTGCTGTGCACTTCCCCCTCTGCGCACTCTGACCCGGGACACGCACCCACGGGCCGCTCAGTCCCCACGCGCCCAGCTCCCTGCGCCGTGTCCCCACTGCCTCCGGCCTCTTGGGGCTGCCTGTTCACGTTGGAAGCATTGCTGGTTTCTCCTTTTTTTTGCACCTCCTTGCTTTTTTTTAGGTTTATTTCTTCCGGGAAAGCCCCTTGCCGTCCTGGATTCTGCGCCTGCTCCCCAGTGCGCATCTCAGGCGCCTGGACACTGGGCGGCCTCAGAAGCACTCTTGGTGTCTTTTATAAAACTGCACGCACCAACATCTGGTGCTTGGAATTATGCTAAAAAATACACTGTAATACTCGATCAGGCTAGAGAACTGTTGCGGGGGCCGGTGCGGTGGGAGGACAGACGGCTGATCAGAGGATGAGAACTTTGGGGGGCTCCGCTCTGAGGCATTCCCTGAACCCCAGTGACTCCAGTGGAGCGCATCCTGAGGGGTCCGTCCTGACTCCCGCACTGGGAACCAGAGCACCCCAAAACTGCATTGTGCTTTCCCTGTATTTCTGTGGAGTGAGGCCATGGACAGTAGACACCAAGGTCAGAGGTCATCAGTCTGATTCAAGTCCTGGCTACTCCGTGTCTCAGTTTCCTGCTCGTGCGCACCCTGGGAGGCAGCAGGTGTTGGCTCAAGTTCTTGGGTCCCAACCACCCGAGTGGGAGACCTGGATTGGGTGCCGGGCTCAGGCATCCGGGAATGAACCAGCAGATGGTGACTACTCTTGCGCTCTCTGCCCTTTCTCTCCCTTCCACTCCCTTCCCCACCTCTCCTCTCCTCTTGTCTTTCAAGTCAACATTTGGGAAAAGAATCTGGCCGCTAAAGTGCCAGCTCTTTGCTGAACTGTCCATTGCTTTGGAAGAGTGAGAGCTGAGTAGGAAGGAGTCTTGTTCAGTCAGGATTGGAGTCCCTGATTGGCCCTTTTAA